GGAAACCAACGATAGCGAGTGGCAACGACCTCCAATCATGAATGCGAGTGCCACCTGGATGAACCAGATCTTCCCGCACTCGATTGCAACGCATGGACCCCACCACCAAGCACCCAGCCGTTCCCTCTTGAGGATACAAAGTGTTCGTGCCGCAGCGACTGGCATCGCCAAACGAAACCAAGATCAAAGGATACGTCAGCGGAGCGAAGTGACAGCCAGCCATCGGCTGTTCCTGTTGCGGGCGCTCGAACGATGATAAGGCCCACCTGCTTGAGATGACAGAAGTTGGATTCGAGACCACGCTGCTGCAACCAGACCACGTCACACTAGATGTCCTATTTCGTCTGGCAAAGCCACAGCCGCCTGCACAACGCGCTCCTCAGATCATCATGATGCACGCTGATGCACACTTCCTCCGCCTTGTCAGTCAACGCAGGCTCAATGATATTATCATCACTGACTCCATGAAGCTCTCGCGCTGATGCCAAGATACCTGGGCCCGAGTCGCACATCATGACCACGCGCGTAAAAGGCAAGTGGCGACGCTTGACTTTCCCGAACCGCTTCCCCATCTGACGCTAGCTCCAGCATGAAAAAATGGAAAAAAAAACTATGTCGCCAAGACTATAATATCGTCCGCACGCGCTTCCCATATCACAAGGAGATCGCCGGCTGCGGCCCACGCGAAGTTATCGCTGGACACCGATTGGATGCCAGACAGCTCCCCCGCCACGAAAAAGGACAGAACAGCGCCAACTGCCAGTGGAGCGGGGAGCCCACGGGGCCGCTGATGGGCTTCAAGAGCCGCGGCAGAAACCTTGATGCTAGACTTCGAGCTCTCGAACCCTTATGTTAGACTTCTCGCACCTCCTGACATGGCGCAAGACCCTGGCCAGCGACTTGAGAAAGACCTCGCTGCACTTTGGATTCGATGCCCACGCGCTTCGCTTTCTCACGAAGCCCCTCGCATGATGGGCCCTGCGGGAACGCCGCACAGACGCCCAGCGTCTCCGATGATAATTCCTTGTCCAGGGAGGGCAACGGTGCGAAACCCCGACGGGAGAACCGAGGCGCCGTCGAGGAGTGCCCCATCACCTGATCCTTCTGCGCGCCCAAAAAGCGTCTGCCACACAGCCGAGACGCGACGACGTAGGTGAGCTCGTTCTCGTCAGCGCATGTCTTCTTCCAGCGCAAGACCCGCGTCGCGTCGATCAGGTTGGCCGAGCCCAGACTGTCCCGGCGGACTGCAAGAAAGCACGCGCTGCATCGTGTCAGCCCGCTCGATCGGGCCCCAGCACTTGACGGCGTCGCCCCCCGCAAGCACGTCGTCGGGCTGGGCGTAGGCGGCCTACCCGCTCATCAGGTCGATGCAAAAGTTCCGATATATCGTGCACAGGCCTGGCGCGACCCAGTGGGCCTCGGATGAGGACCAACTCAAAACGGCCTCGTCCATCCGTCGGAGATTGTCGGGCACTTTCTGAGCCACGCCCATCAAAATGTCCGGTGCCCACCCAACTCCCCCGCAGCCGCGCACGCGCTGACGAGGCGCCTGCCCCGGGCGCGCGCGCTGCCGAACTGCTGATCACCGACGACGAAATTCTTGAGCGTCTTGGGCATCCTGATCTCCGTCAGCTGCGGCGGCGAGGACTGCGTTGGCGAGTGTCCACGACCATCGTCCTTCAGTGAACACGGCCGCTTCGTCGCAATCGCACTTCCTTAACATCTGGAGCCCGCGGAGGCGATGCTCCCCGACCCATGCCCTTCGCGCTCCTTGAAAGCCCGAGGCGCCACAGGCCGCACTGGCTGATCTGAATCGACCCGAGCGCCCCCAGAGCCCGCCGAGCGAACAAGGCGCGCAGGTGCAGGGCCCTGAGGTAGCCCTTCGGATTCTTCGGGCCAGCCATAGTCGATCGCAGGTGCTGGCGATGCCGCGCCTGCTGGAATGTCCTCGTAGATGAGCGTGCTCTTCTCTTCTTCTGGCGCGCCCACCCTGACTGGCGTCGGTTATACATCGTCGCGGGCGTCCGTGACCTGCGCCAGCGAGCTCGTCTTAGCCGGGCCACGCAACGACGACGGCGCTGCCACGGTGGAGTTGGCCCGCGGAACTGTCGCCGTCAGAGAGGAAGATGAAGATGGAGCTGGAAGTTGAGGCGTCGCCAAGCCCATTCCGCTGTCGAGGCGGTGACCTGCTGAGCTCCAGCCTCTCGATATCCTGCGACGCCCTCTGCATTGACGCCGCCGCCGCCGCCGACGCCGACGCGAGCGCCGATGCCCTTGGAACTGGAGTCGACGACCTCGGCGCTGGCGCAAGCGCCATCGGCGCTGGAGTCGCAATTCTCGGCGCGAGAGCTCCCCGGCCACGCCGTCAGTCAGTCGGCCCCGCTGGAACATGATCTCACGGACTGCAATAATCGACGCGCGGCGGATCGTGGTCAGGCTCTCAAGCCCGCGCCTGCGGCGCCGCAGGTGACCACGCTTGGCTGGCGACGATGCCTCCCCC